TACTACTCTAATGTGCCTACTTCAAATATGCTTGACATGTCTGTCCTTCCATCCATAGCTATTTTTTCCAGAAAATTTTTAATTTTCTTCCTTTCTTCGAGTTGGGCATAACAATTCAAGAGGATATTTGTGTGATACAAAGTGTAACGATCGGTGTCATGTAAGGCCTCCAAGTAGACGCATAACTGCCGCAGACGAGATCCATCGAGATACTAAACCATTGGACTTTAGAATAGAATGGTGATATTCAAACGTTAAACTAACCCTTTTTATGACATAAGAAGGCTCCAGCATTCCTATCGTTTCCTTGTATTCGCTTACAGCATTGTTGAAATCTCCTTTGCTGAGAAAATGCTACAATTTAGGAAAAAGCTTTAATCATAGTGAAATCAATATTCACCCATAAAGATAGTCGCCGTATTTCTCATGAATGGACTTCAAATGCTCAGCACCGTCTCTGCTACTTTTTGCAAGACTGCAATTACGATGTTGAGAGAGGAGATACATAACAATTTCCGCATGAAGGTATTTCGACCTGCCGCCTTGATTAGACTCAACTAGGAAAATAACTTACATAACAGCAACATCAAAGAGATTCTTCTTGAAAAGAATATCCAATTTTGCACTGAGATTTTTCTCCGTCAACTCTGATAACGTCCCGTCCTTACTTAAAATCATCAGGGACTGATCAACAGTAAATAATCTGTAATTTTAAAGACTTCTAGCAATAAAAAAAACACTAGGAAACCTCATCTACTACCTGCATAAAGAGGGAAGTGAACAGGAAAACCCAATATATTGACCTTTTACATTATATACAGTAACCATAGACATGAATTCCGTCGCATCATTTGATCTAAAGGTGTATGATAAAGGACAAGAAGCAATTTTCTGGAAGGACCCCCTAGCGATTCTTTTTTTTAAACTAGTTGATTGCCAACACCTACGGTATAAGAGCATGTTGTTTTGTGAGAAGCGCGAGATGTTCGCCTATTGAAAGGAGCTGAAGTTTTTCGTGACTCCTGCCTAGTTGAAGACAACGTCCGCG